CGTCTTCGGATCTCAGCGTCGCACCTACCGTCCTCCGTCAGAACACTTACATGAAATAAAAAATAACTACTCAAAAATGAACTATTGTGCACCGCTTTTTACGCTTAAAATAGCTTGACTCGCCTCAAATGAATGGCCATTTGAGAATACAAATAATTTTATTATAAAACAGAAAACAAAATCTTTTTCTAAGAAGTCAATAACAGTCAGCGTCATGTTTCAATGGTTTGCAATACTATCATGATATGCAGATAGTATGATATAATATGCACGTGTTTTTCATAATTTCCATAATAAAAATGTATATTATAAACATATAATAATCACTGCTTTAATTGTGTGTCTATATCACTGGGATGAGGTATTATGATTATGTCCTCAAGGATATCCCATTGGATAAAGACGTTGGTTAGATCCACTGACGAAACTCAAATACTTCAATACCAGGCTACAGCAGTTGTGATTTGAGTTAAAGGGAAATAACTGAGATATCCAGAAGTGGCATGACACGTGGAACTAGAACAATCAATCCCGGTGGACGAAATAAACGGTTCGGTTTAAAATTCCAATTGCCTGAAGAAGTCTGTACAACGGCCGAAACGTTGTGAATATGGCAATGAAGATGAGGCTAACAGTCCGAATAATGTAAATAATACTTTAATTGTCGTACCAAGATTACAGAGGATTTCTCATTTAGGAGTATGGGTTAGCTCAAGACTTGATGGGGTCTGGCGTGTGCGTAACTAAACCCATCTTTTAAACTAAGGCTTTACACCCGATAGGTGGAGCAGTAGGAGTATGGTCGCGAGCTAGTATGTTTTTATTGAAGACAACACACACACACACACACACACACACACACACACACACACACACACACACACACACACACACACACGTATAGATGCCCGGCCATATAACACACATACACAATGAAACACGTACAGACACATATATTTATATAATATTGGGATGATTGTTAGATTAAAAAAAAAAATCCACCGTAACGCGTTTCGTCCCTACAAATGACTTCTTCAGATTACAGTCCGTCTGAAGTTATTATGCAAATCATATAAACCTAAATAAATCGAATTTGCTTTGGACAATTTTTGTTAAATTTTAAACGATTAATTTAAAAGCGTGAAGTTAAGTTTTTAGGTAGTTTCAACATGATTTATTTAAGCTAGTAGATTTATTATAAAAAACTTCAGTCTGAAGTTATTATGCAGATTAAGCTAATGAAGGCCGCTGAAATCTAATAAAAATTATTTTCTTTCTATGCGTAATTTATATTGAAACATGGGTAATAAAAAGGATCTAACAAATGCCGAAGAACAGAAAATAACAGTTATTGAGTGAGGTAATAACCGCATGGCGATATCAAAAGAATTTCCAGAGATCATCGAATGATATAGAGGTAGATTGAAAATATGACTAAGTTGAGAGCTAGAATCAACAGAAAAGGTTTTAAGAACTTGTTTCTTTGAGGGAAACATAGACTAAAGTGAGTTATAGCGAAACAAACACTTTTGATCAGTGATCGGATTTTTGAACAGGCTGGAATTGAGTGAATCAAGAAGAACAAAATATCTAGATTACTTAGCAAATTGAGATCTGTCAAGAAATCTCCTAGGCAAACTCCTCTTAGTAAAGCAATTATTTTAAAGCGTCAGAATTGGGCCAAGTTTTCTAAAGTAATTTTCCCGGACGAATCTCAGATAAAACTCGATGGACCTGATAAATGAAGCGAAGGGTGGAATTTATCCAATGCAGAAATACCTGTAGCCAAAAGAAGGCAGGAAGGAGACAGTCGTGTGCTGATATGGGCTGGAATTGTCGACAAAACCATTATTGAAACATTCAAAGTCGATGAAGGGTATAAACTGAAAAGTGCTAACTAACGTGATTTTATGGACATGACTATCTTTAAATGGTAGAAATCCCAGCCGCGCAGTTTCAAACTGATATGTGCATTTATGACCGACAATGTTCCTTCTCATATATCTAAGGTTACCCGTGAATGAATGTTTCGAGTGTAAAAGGTTTACAGGAAGGAAGATAATGGAATGGACACGCTCAAGTCCCGATCTTAATCCGATTAAAAATCTATGGTTAATTGTGATGATGAAATTATATGAAAGTGGATGACAGCAAAGCAGACATATGGGAAACAATTAAAACCATCATTTCGGAAACCGAACCAGCTGAAGTAAAATATTTAACAAATCAATGTCGAATGTTATTGAGAAGAAGGGTCACTATGTTGAGATGCAAATACTTCAAAGACTTACAATATATGTTTATATATGTTTTATTATAGGTGTTGATTAATTGTTGATTATTTTATTACCTTGTTATTGAAGTAAAAAAAATGCATAATATATTCAAAGCGCAGTTTTATAATAAAAATTTTCAATGCAAATCCGAGATCTTGAGGTTTATGTGATTTGCATAATAACTTCAGAGAGACTATATTAATGGTTATATATATATGATAGAGAGAAACAGTAAATCGGTAAAAGCGCCTCAGGCTGTATGAAGGTTCCGTATAGGATACAGGTTCGATTCCTGTCGGAGGACGTATATTTTTTATGACGATTTCTCGGACATTCAGACTGGTAAATGTTGTTAATACTGTTTATTATAAACAGAGCATTTACTTATTTACTTAAATATTTGTATCTATAAAAAAGAATGTATAAACATAAAAATGTCTACATATATATATATATATATATATATATATATATATATAAATAAAGAGAGAGAGAGAGAGAGATGGTGGTTAGTGGGGTGAAATATAACAAATAGCGCTTACAATTTTACATCGAAAACGCCACAGAGTAGCGGAATTCAAGTTAGTCTCGTAAATCAATGTTGTAGCTAGATTGATGCACACTAGGCACTCCATAATTGAGGCCTTGTGCCAGAATAAACTAAGGTTACTAAATATGCACGTACATACGCATAGTCGTATTCGTCTCGCACACACAACGAAAAATGTTGGGCCTTTCTTTTTTTCGTTTACTTTGAGATGTAGAAAATGGTGCCTCTCCGACAGGAAAGAAAATCTGGGCGTGGATGAGAATTGATAATCCAATTGTTGGCGGACGTGATCGACAGGGTAGCGATTGTGTTAATAACAATTGAGGGACAGTTATTAAAACAGATGATCTCATTAAGCCGAGCGACCCGAACACCGTTTCCAAACACGGTGCTTTTAACGTTGTTATTACAGTTGATATATGGCGAAGAGCAGGGGGGGGGGCTCCTAAGGCGAGAAGACTATTGGACTGGTGGAGTTGTTGGGTAAGGAAAAAAAAAAGAAAAAGAAAAAAGAAGGTAAAGTACTTAGGAAGAGAATAAAAGAAATAAAAAAATGGATGAATAAAAAGTGGAAAAATAAAAATATTATTAGTAGTATGGCGAGCGATGTCAGTAATAAAAGTACTGTGGATGAAGAGGAGAAGGATTTCGCTAAAGGAGTATTTCTGTTATTGTTGGTACTATTGGCGAAGATATAATTTGTTGAGAACAAACAAAGGCTATGAAGAAGGTAACAATAAATCAGAATAAAACGCATGACGAAGACGGAAGCATGATTGGCTACTAAAAAGGAGTACGAAGCAAAGAGCCAATATATATATATATATATATATATATATATATATTATCAGAATATTGATAAATTACTTTGATGGTTTATTTTGAAAGAGAACGAAGAAGACAGGCGCTGAAGACTAGAGATGAAGTTTTGCGGAGAAGGAGGCAAATGTTTGGGGAATGTAGATTGACAGATTGATGGTTTTGATAGATTATCACACACACACACACACACACACACACACACACACACACACACACACACACACACATATATATGTGTGTGTGTGTGTGTATATCAGTTACAGATCGTAACAATTTATAATGAATGCAGAACGATTCATTAGTGCTATATTAGTGACTAAAATAAGCCGAATCTATAATCTTAAAAAGTAGTCCAGCATATGCAGTCTTGAAAAAATATATATATATATATATATATATATATATATATATATATATATATATATATATATATATATTGTGTATTTAGGCAGCAAATTCTCCCTTAGACATGTCTGATTGAATAAGTTCGAACATTATGTCTGCTTATTTTTATGATAATCCTTTCATATTCACGAATATTTTTCGTATTTTACAATTGATAATAATTAATTGTAATATACGGAAAATATTTTTGAATATGAAAGGATTATCATAAAAATAAGCAGACATAGTATTTGAAATTTATTCAATAAATGTATAGTCGCAAAATAGTTCCACATATATAGACCTGAAAAGAAAACCTATTTATACAGTCGAGAAAAATAGTCCCAAGTATATAGTTCAGAAAAATAGCCACACATGTGTAGTCCAGAATAGATGTTTCCACTATATAGTTATATATATATATATATATATATATATATATATATATATATATATATATATATATATATATATATATATATAGCCCAGAAAGGTAGTCGCGCATATATAGTCCTGGAAAGTCGTCACACATATATCTCGTCATGAAAAGTAATCTCACATATATGGTTCTGAAATATATTGCCACTTACATCGTGCTGAAAAGAATTTCGACAACTTGAAAAATGAATGCTAAAGATATGTCTATTTAAAAAAAAAAAAACTTTGTTGTTGACATTATTCACTTTCGTAAGCGTTTATTACAGTAACTGCGTCATTTTAATTAGTGACATAAATATCAAAAACGCTGGTAAATTTCTAACGAAAAACACAATGAAAAGTAAAAAAAAAATATTTTTAAGGAAAGCATTTTTCTGCAAAATAGCTTATTCAAAACGCAGATTATTTTCCTAACGGTTTTATGTGAGATTCGGTAATCAAGCCGTTAAAGTTGTTAGATGCAAGGTTTCCTTGTTGAAAAGGTTAAGAATAAAAAGAATTTCTTTTTATTTGAAATATCACGCATTTAGGTTCATTCTATGAACTTACACAAGAAAAACTCACACATATCTATCTATCTATCTATCTATCTATCTATCTATCTATCTATCCTCCTTTCATTCTAATGTAGAATAAGGAAATAGTAGAAAAATCTTTATAAATTTAACATTTTTGCTATTTATTTAGCTTCATTAGTAATTATGAAAACGAATATCTATCTATCTATCTATCTATCTATCTATCTATCTAGTTTGCTTATCTTTCTAACTCTATGTTTGTCTTTGCACATACGACCATAAATAAATTCGCTTGCATAACCATATTATTATTCTAGGCTAAACTTATTATTCTGCATTAAAAAATCTCATCAAACCTAAAGGCTCTTCTTGCAATGACTAAGTAAGTATGGACGTAAAGAATATAATAATTCTCTAATCAGACTAATGTATTTAAGGCTCCATTATTGCTTTTTAGCAAAACGCGTTTTTTCTCTTCTCTTCAACCGTGCATTAAGAGTGGAGCCATTCTTAGAATTATAATTCTAAGCATAATGCAAACTTAATGACGTTTCAAAAGGCACACAAGAGATATCTAGTCCGTCGATCGCTTAATGTGTCCGATTTCTGACGAACACTCTAATGACGATCGGATCAAGGATTATTCAAGCAGGTAGATTAACTAGCTAACTTGTGCTCTCTCTTAATCACTCATATCTTGTACATATCTTCAATATCTCCCTCCCTCTCACTATATATATATATATATATGTCCGTTCAAGTCGTCTGAAGATCGCGTGTGCGTGAAACTCGAATTACGATTAGAGCCATATTTTCATAGAAGGTAACGTTGTTAAGCGTTTTTTGGCTCAGTCTAGGCAATGTAGTTTTCGAGCACTTTACTGGGTAGGTAAGTTTGCCTTTAGGCCTTTTTTCTCTTATTTTTCAGTCTTGTCATATTCATTCGAAGCTATATAGATAAGATTTTTAGGTTTTCAGTTACTTGTCCATTGGTTCCACGAATGGCTTTTGTTTTTTTTTTTACTATATATATATATATATATATATATATATATATATATATATATATATATATATATATATATATATATATATATATATATTACTTACATTATTCGAACTGTTATCCTCATCTTCATTGACATATTCACAACGTTCCGGCCGTTGGACGCCCCGGCCTTCTTCAAGTGATAGGAATTTTGAACACACACACACACACACACACACACACACACACACACACACACACACACATATATATATATATATATATATATATATACGTATGGATACGTATTGTAGAACTCAAATAGTGGAAAGGACTGCTCCCCGAAGATAAAAAAGAAAATCAAAACCTTCAAGTGATGCTTATGAATTCGCTTTGCCCCTAGTAGAATGCCTCTCTATTTATGATAATTAAAATAAAATATGCAGTGGGTACCAAGCCACTACACTATCGCGCCGATTAACGTGCCATTTATTTTATAGTAGTTCAATTAAATCGCATATTACTAAACAACACAATAATATAACACAACAAGAAATCCAAAAAATCCTTACCAATAACACAAAATGCTATATCACATAAACTGTAAAAAACGATTACAAATTTAAATGTCTACTGGAAAACAGGGAAATAGTCCGAAACAAAGAAAACATCCTTAACAAAGAAATTTCATTGATCTTTAACTAATCTTGTAGAAATTTAAAAAAAAATAATGTCCAAATTAACGAAATATATATAATTGTTGCTTTTCGCTTTGGAGTATGCTTGATATGTATATAACCACCCTACTGTTTCACCATTGCGCTGTACGAATGTAGCCTTTTGGCTCAGCCAAAGAGACACACTCTGCCGCATTATTGTTCCATTGAGCTTTGTTTTTTTTTCTCGGCTCTGTTCAGCCTATTTTACTTTAAGTAGATATATTATCTAATGATGATTCTTTTTGCAAGCAATGCCCTGTGCATGAAGTTTGTTTTTTTAAGCGAAGAAATCCATCATTAGATGCAATTGATCTTGATTTTTATATCTGAGAGTTTTATCAAAGATGAATGACTTTCCAAAACCTAAAGGCCCATCCCTTCCAGCGATCTGAGTAGGTCATCGAGTGAGCTTTCTATAGAAAGATCTATTTGACGTATAGATAGGACTCTGTCAGATGGTGGATGTGTGCGGCTAGTTTAACGGTTATCGAGAATGAAACCGAAGTCGGTGAACTGATTTCGAATTCCTGCCAAGCTTGATACAGTGACTTTCGCAAAAATACCTTTCGGAAAGTTAGGAATTTTCCCCCCTCTACTCATTGTTGGTAACCAGTCTAAGAGAAGGAAAAGTCTGAATGCCAAAACGCATGTAACCGAGCAACCGTATATAGCCACTGAATTATTCAATTAACAGCAACACTGGGTTGTGAACACTAAGATGTCAACTCTGGTCGAATAAAGAAAGGAACAGATACCACCACTCTGGGACCATATTGGAGCTAGGGTTAATGTCAGCTAAGAGGTGACTTCACACTCTCTAGAACACCGGAAATTCCGAGCTGGAAGACAAGGCCTTTCCTGAAAGTCTCTAGCCGTTTTCAATATTGCACTGTCTCATCAGAGGAAAACTTTCTGCGCCTTCCCGCTGAAGCATTCTCCTATAGGGTTATTCAGCCTGCAGTATAGATGCCAAACTTGAACAGTTCGGAGATGTTTCAGTGAGTGGTTTCCAAACAGAACTTTGGTACCGATGCTTTAAACATGACCGTTAAAGCTATTCGGAATGCATTCATCATGAAGAACTGTTAATATATTGGACGCGTGTGGGTTGCAATTAAAGGTAATCAGCAATTGGCACTCTATCGTTTAGACGATCTAGGGATACTATGGACTTTCCAGAAAGTATGCAGTTACTTGGAAGATCTCCCGTTGTAAAACCGACAAGACAGGTCTCAAGGTCTCGGAGCAATTTTCATAGACTGCACTCTCGTTATCGCATTACATTTAACTATGGTTCCCACAAGTTCTTAGAAAAATGAGTTGTAAATGTTACTACACCAGCCATAATCTGTTCTAGCAATGTTGTATCTAGCCACACTGCAATCTGTTCTCTGCTATTTTTCAACTGGTGTTGTGTTTACCTGTCGTGGTAAAAAAAAAGATAGCTAAAAAAGGATTCAAATCCAACGGTCCTTCTGATAAAAAACAAACTATTTATTATTGGCAGTTATTACAACATTCCATCTTTTATCTTCTTTTTGTTTGAGAAAAAGCTAGTTTCTGCAAAAGGACTCCTTTTCATTCATGATTTTTTCTATGAACGTTCAGTAGGCATGGTGGAGTAATGGATAGCGGCTCGGAATCGGAGAGACGAGTTCGAATTCCAGTCGAATCTATTACATTCACTTACATAAAGGGAAAGGTATGAATCCTCTTCTTCTTTCCGCCCCCAGCTATCGGTAATTAACAGGACAGACCGGATTCTATAGCCTTAGGTGGCAACTGGTCTACCGCAGAGAGAAATGGCAACCTACTGCGGGAAAAAAAATCTGCCTCGTCAGTCATGTATTGAAAGATACCTGAGCGCCTAATCGTGTATCACACATGGCACATAACTGAGATACTTCTTTCGTTTTGGTTCTTTCTTTTAAGTCAATTTCCTCCTTTTCCACTCACCCCTTCTTTTATCACCGGTGAAAGTCAGGGGACAAGACGGGCCTTACCGCCTGACTGAGACAGACTCTCCGACTGCCCGTGGGTGTGGACCTTTGTGTTTATAAGGTCTTCGGACACTGGAATTGTCACCTACGCCTTTTCTTCAGACAAAAGAAGGTCTTCTTGACAAAACCCAAATATCATGAGCTGGCTTAGCTGGGGCCGATATATGAAGCCATAAATATATTTCTTTGTTTTCAGAAGCCGAGTTGAGCCATGCGAAATACTTGTATTTTGATGAATGAGAAAATATTGCGATAATTTTTGCTCTCTCGGTCATTCGAACATTTTGTAATAGAATTCTTATTTTTCTACGTGCCATATCACTCCAGGGCGTTGACTATCATGGGTCTCCATAATTCCCTGTTCTTTGTCGCTCTTAGTATGTTTTGTTCTTTTCTTATCTCTCTCAAAGCTCGGTAAGTAGGTTATGTGTTGTTTTCCTCTGTTATACTTGCCTTCAATCTGTCTTGTGAGTATCAGAATTCCCAAGCTCCCTTTTTTCATCATGCGCTCTAGAAATTCCCAATGTATTTTCCTGATATTAAGTACAAGTGTCCTTTTGTTTCCAATTTTCTCTAAAATTTGTTCGTTGCTCATATGTTCCGTCCATGGTATTTTCAGCATCCATCTGTAGGACCAAATTTCTGTTGCTTCGGGTCTCTTCCTAACCTGTGCAGTCATTGTCACATAGGAGGACTTTTCAGTACTTTTCTTTGTTTCTAACGATATTTTTTGCTTACATTTTGGAAAGCAACATTTACTATCCTAATGTACCTTCGAATTCTAGTGTCTGTTAAAACACTTCCCAGTTGTACACGGCTTCGACTCTCACCAATTCTAATTTCAAAGTCTTAAGAAAGCGTTTTTATACGTTTTAATTAAACGCTTGGTTTGTTTTTTCATTATCATTTTCTTAAACCCACCTTCTCACTTATTTAGTATAAAATAATATTTAGCATTATTTAGTATATATATTATTCATTTAGTATAACCACTTTCTTCATTCTAGCCCCGAAACATTATTCATACGCTATTAAAATCTTAGGTGAGGTGGCCATTCTTCTACACAGATCATCCTTTCTATTTCGTGGAAAATATCTTATCATCCAAATCTGTCAGCACCAATAGAGTTCTGTTTTGATACTCGGAATTTTCTAACAACTGCAAGATTAAAATTGACATCGAAATATAGTGGGCGTGTTTAAAGAGAAGACAATGAAACAGCTGATGACACTCCCGAAAGAGAGTATTAGGTATGAGAGAGAAAGAATATAAGTAACTTGACCAGTTAAGACTGAAAATATTTTATGTAGCGTTTTCTTCATCAAAAGAAATAAGTCGGATGTTTATCAAATTATTTCATTGAACTGCCAGCAACGATGTGAAAGATTTTCTTCGTAGAAAGTATAAAATAAAGTAAAATGAATAGGATTACCTGTTTAAGAATTCCGATTCTATTCTTGAATACAATATGGACATGTTAGAGTTAATGCCATAGCCTTATCATATAATCCGAAATTTGAATATTACATTGCACTTAGAGTTTAACACATACATTTCCAATTCAGTTCTGATATAAGTCGACAGCGAAACTAAAATATAACGAAATGAACACTGAAAATGAACAAGACATATTTAAAATCGTTTGCCTTCGTTTCAATCAATTAAAAAAAAACTCATTATAACAGTATTTATAGCAAATATTCAATATTTCCAGCAAATATCCAATATTCAATCAGTGTAGATCAATAAGAACGAGGCCTGACACAGAGTTACTAGGCAAATTTTGGTTTGAAAATTTCACAGTTTAGCGTTCGATCCATAAGATTAATCTTAACCACGGCATTAAGTGACTTAACAAGAAAGGAAATTATATAGAAAAATATAATTTTTAACGTAAATTAAATGCTTTTTTTTTTCATCATTAAGCTACGGATTTATTGATGTACCTACATCACTTAAGTGAATTAACAATGAATGAAATATATATATATATATATATATATATATATATATATATATATATATATATGCATTACATTTAATCAATTGCATTGGAAAATGAAGGAGATTATGTTGAAAATAAATATTTGTTGCGTAAATTAAATGCTTTCTTTTGATTAAACTACTGATCTACTGATGTATCTATATATGCATCACTTAATTGCATTGGAAAATGAAGGAGATTATCTTGAAAATAAATATTTCTTGTGCAAAATAAATATTTCTTGTGCAAAATAAATGCTTTTTTATTGTTAAGGTTCGGAAATATTGATGTACCTATATATAATTGTTGATACACGGGAGAAAACAAATGGAATTTCAAAGAATAAATTTGTAACGAAATAATTTTATTTCAGATGAAAAAAGGAGAAGAACTGATAATACGCGATTTGTTATTGTTATCATTATTATTTCAATATTATAAGACTTTTTATTTGAATGTTTGGTCATTGAATGCGAAAGAGAACCAAAAGCAACGACCGGTAATGGAAAAAATTCCTTCGGGACAATAAAGAGCGAATACTTACCAGAAAAAAAACTTTTAGGAGCAAAGTTCTTCATTAACAACGATGTGATCAAAAGGGTTTATCAATTTACAAATTTGAAGGGACAAATAAAACAAAAGGAAACAAAAAAGAAAAAAAAAGATACTCAAATGCAAAGCAGATTATGAAATATTGTTGAAAGCAGAAACCTTACTAAAAATCATGCCAAACACATTAGATACATTAAAGGTCTGAAAGTGGAGAAAAGAGCAACGCAGACGAGCAATAATAATAACGATGAAGGAAAAATAAATGGAAGACAACATCAAGAAAACAACAAAAAAATATAATGAAAAGAAAATAGGAAATATCTAAAACCTTTTGTTTGTTGTACAACAACGTTTATTCTTTTTCGCCAGCTTCTTTCCTCCGCCCGTCTCTGTTCATATTTGAGGAGATAATGGAACAACGTACAATAAGGCAATAGAACGTTTTTGAAAAGGCGGGAAAAAACAGTCTTTTATGGATTTGTAAGTTTTCTGGATTTCTCCTACTTTATTAAGGGAAATGCGTATTTATCTTAACCTGATTCACAGATCACAAAAAACGCTTTTAACCTCCAATATATATATATATATATATATATATATATATATATATATATATATATATATATATATATATATGTATGCGTGTGTGCCATAAAAGTATATAAAAAATACAGCGTGTAACTATGTACAACTTCCTAAATACTTACACAAATGTGTGTTATGGAAGTTAAGTAATATATATATATATATATATATATATGAATAGCAATTCGTTTATACATGTTTCACGGTAAATAGTGGATGAAAGTGTTCTATCTGTTATCTTCATTATGCTATGAGGGAAGCTTGGTTCTATATTGTACTAAATCGGAAACGTTGGTTGGATATCGACACCTGCATGATAGTGTTGGCGGCGGTTTGGGCTATTTTTTGTCTTTAGCCACGTGTCACATGCTATTCCCCGTAGAGGGTAAGGTAAATGCTGACTTAAAGAATCATTCTTTCTACTTGGTTTCATTTCTTTCACTGCAGTATATGTGAGTTTTCAGCACTTTCAACTCCAGGGATTTAACTTACAAGAGATATATATCCTAGTGGATTAAGATGTAAGTTAAAATATATCAGGTTAACTGCCAGTTGTGAGTTCAGTCCTTGGGTCTCGTATTGTTTAACGGTCAAATAGTTTGGAATTCAGCAGAAGAAACGGACAAACGACACACAGGTAGATAAAACTCTTGAGCATTAATTGATATTAAATATTTCATAACGATGGAAAGTAGAATGAGAACTATCTACCCTATTGGATAAATAAAGGGCTCAGACGAAAATTACAAGAAATATGTAAAGACAGACACCTGAAGGTTGGACAACTGAAACATTGTGAGCATAGAATGCTAGTACGAATATTAAGGCAAATAATAATAATAATAATTGTTCTCTATCTGAAAAATATTTTTCTTTTAATTGAATTCACCCCAAGCAAAGCAGTAAAGCCACTAAGACACAAGGGGTTGCCGGGTGTGGAAGAATTAGAAACCAGAAACTTTAATAAGGAATGAGAAAAAAAAGAAGAATCAAGAGGATAGTAGATAGCGATTGACATTACATTTAAATTTCTGAAGATTAAAGTTGGCTGGAAAACATGGGCCCGGAAGAGAGTTCCACAAGCGAGAAGTGCGAAATAAGAAACTGTTAGCATAGTACTTACGGTTGAATTTAACCAATTCAAATCTAAATTGGTGAAACCACGTCGCCAGTCTGGTACTGCGTTTAGATTCCTAAAGCCTATGTACCATCGCAAAGACCACATGTTAACAGTTGCCATGAAAGTATTTATAGAAAAGGCACAGGGAGGCAACTTTACGCCAGTGGGAATGTCACTGAAGCTGAGCCACCAGATCAGGACGAATAATATTGCGTATTCTTCTTTGGAGGATATCTAGATATATAGCAACAGCACCAGAGCATATGTGGTTGCAATATTCTAAACATAGACGAGTGGTAGACTTATAGATATGTAAAATAGATTCTGGAGAGACGCAGTGAACCAAAATTCTTAGCTGGCATAGCAATGGAGTCAATATAGAGAACGTTAGCCAGAGAAGACGCAATATATGACTTACTATTTGGACTTGTATAATCATCTTGATAATTTTTAGTTCATTTCCAAAGTTTAATAGTGCAGAAAGGTCAAATACTCTGTTTCAGTGGAAGAAACGGACAAAGGACACAAAGGTGAATAATATAGGTAAGTATTATCTGATATAGTTTGATTGATTCATTTTTTTACGGATTATCAACACTTTGCAACTTAATTAAAGTCAGAAAATAATATTAGATTGTAAATTTTTTTACTGAGATAATAATGGCTTAGAGATACAAGTCTTTCTAATTAACCCATAGCTGGGGGGGGAGAAGATGTGAATTCATACCCTTCCAAGAGTATTTGCGCGTAAGTGCATATAATGAATTCAACGTGAATTGTAACTCGGCTTTCCGATTAACAATTCCGAGCCATTATCCATTACATCACCGCACATCCAAGCTTACAGCACCTGGTATTCCTAAGAGGCCGCCCATCTTGGTATTGACCAGGCTCAACGTTTCTTAACTTCGGTAATCGTACGAGACCCGGTGTTTCAACATGAAACATTGTGAGCATAGAATGCTATTACGAACGTTAATACATATAATAATGATAATTCTTTATCTAAAAAATTATATACATTGCTATTCAGACCAGACCAATCTTGACAATTTTTAATTCAATCTGAGGGTTTGGTAGTACTGAAAAGTCAAATACTCTGGTTCAGTGGAAGAAAAGGACAAACGATATAATGGCGTATCGTACTAGTATTTATTAACTGATATAGTATATTTCTTCTTTTAACTATAAAAGGCGAAATGGGAACACTCTATACTGTGATTTGAATAAAGTGTTTGCTTCGAAGTTCCAAGAAAGTTACCGGCATCTAAAGAAGAGCAAAGTGGTAAACGTGCTGGCCCAAACAGAAGATTGTATACTATGGATAATTCCTCATGTAAAAAATAACGATAAAATCTATGTCCTTTATTATATCGAAATACACAATTTTCAGACGAACTTCCTCGACATTATAAATATCATAATATTTTTTTTTATCTGTTCATTTAATTTTCTGCTACAAATAACTTAGTATTTTGTACGAAATTGGCAGGTTATCTATTTGTTACAACCAAAAAAAAAAAAAAAAAATTAAATACATATTTTTCAATTTGTTCATTAACTTATTTATTTAATTGAACAATTAATTTTGAGTTTTATATTATGATTGCTGGAGCCGTGACAATGACGCCTGTTTGGATTTATATCTCCCCCAACCAAGTTTTAACATGGGAAGGAAGTATGTTCTGTGTAAGAGCAGCGGGGATCTGAGAATGTCTACTATGGTAGAGTTATAGAACTGAATGTACGTTATTTGCTATTAAGTTTCGAAAAAACTCTCATTAAAAGAAATTCAAGCAGAGAATTACGACTAAGCTTATCAGTCATCAAAAAGGAGTTAACAATAGTTACTTAGCAAATTCTGTAGAATCAGTTAATCGAGAAGCTAAATGATACTGAATAAAATCACAATGTTAATCTAATTACTTATATATACACAGACATGACAGAATTGAATAGACGCTCACAGAAACAAGTAATTTATACAAATGAAGTAATTATAAATGGTCATAAACTTAATAACTAATACTTGGTTGACATCCCTTTTGCTTTTTTTAATGCAAGGACCCTACCAGGCATGCTAGCGATGAGTTCATGAATATCATCTTGAGGGATTTCTTGCCATGTTTGACGCAATAATCCTAAAAGTTCGGGGTTAGAAGTTGGCTTCCTGTTCTTTTTGTAGAGTTTTCGATCTAATATGCCCCAAAGGTGTTCAATAGGGTTAATATCCGGGGACTGACTTGGCCATGGAAGTTTATTGATCCCATTATGTCTCAACCAATGTTGCGTTGCTTGAGCAGTGTGACATGGAGCTCCATCTTCCATAAATAGGGAGTCAACTTTGCTCATTCTACTACTTGAGAATATTGGAAGGAGCCCTTTCTTTAATATAGAAATATATTTGGTTGAATTAATGTTTCCTTCACACTCCACAAGCTCTGAGCGACCATCATTCCAAATTGCACCCCATACCATTACTGAAAAGCCCCCATGTTTCACCGTTGGCTGCAGTCTTTTTAAATCAAACTCTTGACTACAGAGTCTCCATACCCATACTCTTCCACTGTCGGAAAATGATGCAAATCTTGACACATCAGGGAAAATGACAGTGGTCCAAAAGGTCACAAGTGTCTCCACCATCTCATGAGCTCAATCCTTTCTGCGTTTGATATTGGCTGGACAGAGAAGTGGTTTACTTTTTGCATCTCTGCCATAGTAGCCCAGCTTGTGAAGATACCTGACAGCTGTTCTGGGACTGGCATCAACTTGTGTTACTATGTCAGAGGCCTTGTAACGTGGATCCTGTTCAACATTTCTTTCGACAAGACACATGGTTCTTTCAGAGGGCCCAGGGCGGTCTGGGTGAGGTTTTGTGCACTTCTTGCCCTCTCTGGTGAATTGTACAATCACTATATTACCAGTAGAAAGGAGTATTGAAAGAATTTTCAGATATTTTTCTTTTACTTCATGTTGGCCCACGATACGTCCTCACTGAAATTCGGAGGGGGTCTGATGCTCCTTTGGTTCGTAGCATGTTCCAGTATTGTTATCTGCAATTTTAATCAAATAATCTAAGTTAATTTGTCTTGGTTATTAAAAAAAAAATCAGAAACAAAATTTATCTTGGTGTCTATTCAATTCTGCCATGTCTGTGTATATATATATATATATATATATATATATATATACACACATTATATATTGTTTTTGTTTTTTGCATCAGCGAATTGTAGCGTCTTTTTGGCCTTGAAAAACACATTGATTTGGAAATTCTTGTAAAAATCAAATAATTGTCATATTTTAATAAAACTTTCAGTACTTATCCACAAATGAATGAAATTATTTTTAGAAATGTTTTTTTTATATCTTGTAAATTTTTTTTTTACATTTGTTGCCCTATACATATTTAATTTCATGAAATGTCGAGAAATTCAATTCTATAGAAATGTTTATATTAGTTAAAAGCCAAATTCCTTGGAGAATTTAAATAATCAATTTTTTTTGTTATACAGTTATAGAAAATCTGCTCTGAATCATAAATGCAGTAAAACTAAAGACATTATTTAATAAAAAAAGCGTTTTATTGTTTATGTGAATAGGATATATTATGGGCACTTGCCTTAAGAAAAAAACGATGAATGAATAATGAATTTTTACAAGAATTGTTTTCATTTTTTTAAGAATTTTAATAAGAATAATTTATAAAATTTTAAAAATTTAAAATTCAGTCAAACTTTGTAGAGGTTAAGTGATATTTTTATTAAGTAAAACCTATATGTACTAATCTTAAATGGATAAATTTAGTACAATTCATCGACGACCAATATTTTAAAAGGAATTTTGTATTTTTTTGTGTATAAACGTGCCGATTTTTACAAATGTTCAAACTAAGACAGAAAGTTCACATAATAAACAACTCTCTTCGAATCCCGTCAGCTACTTTTTATGAAAAGCGGTTTCCGCCATATTTAGTGGTTTACTAAGTGTAACTTAGACGTGGTACAAGGTCGCAAAGATGGAGAACCCAGTGAGAATCAAACTCACTACTCAATCGTAATTGATGTAGTGAGACAAGTTTGCTTAGCATTACATCACATGTCCCCACTCCTCGTTACACGCCCCACCCTCACTCGGCCGTACGACCAGATCCAAAGGAATAGAGGGAATTTACATTTTGTTCTGGAAAGTTAGTTAGTGTTGACAGTCAGAAGCTTTCGGGGATTTACTCCGAATTTTCTGTCTGGATTTATTTTCATAGCCTCTTCCGTGTTCAGGCATGACCTTAAGCTTTAAAATCAAGGTTTTTCTTCCCTAGACGGACTGCATTCCTAGGCTGACGAGTTCCATCTATATTAATGATTGAGATTTCTCCACGTACTATTTTGTTATGGCGTATTGACATTTCACCGCATAGAGAGAATATATATATATATATATATATATATATATATATACGCACGCACGAACACACACACAGAGACATATATATATATATATATATATTTATAAACAAACTTGGTCTGAAGATCCCATTGACGCGTGAACTGACAGTCACGAATACAGTGTTGATTCTTATGTCCAGAGGATATAAACGCATCAGGATATCAGGTTATATGTCCACAGGAGATAAACGCATCAGGATATCAGGTTATATGTCCACAGGATATAAACGCATCAGGATATCAGGTTATATGTCCACAGGAGATAAACGCATCAGGATATCAGGTTATATATCCACAGGAGATAAACGCATCAGGATATCAGGTTATATGTCCACAGGAGATAAACGCATCAGGATATCAGGTTATATGTCCACAGGAGATAAACACATCAGGATATCAGGTTATATGTCCACAGGATATAAACACATCAGGATATCAGGTTATATGTCCACAGGAGATAAACGCATCAGGATATCATGTTATATGTCCACAGGAGATAAACGCATCAGGATATCAGGTTATATGTCCACAGGAGATAAACGCACCATCTCATATACTTTCCATTCTTCCCTACAATTTTTATCAACAGACGACGTGCGCGATGGGTAAATTGTCGTCTAAATTACGCTAAAATGGAAGTAACATTGACGTCGCCTTTTAACTGATATATTTACCAAAATTATAGAAAAATATTTTAACATAAAAAAGATTAGGTTTATTCATTAAAATCGCCATTGGCTTTAGTCACGGTCTCCAGACGATTGCCGAATCTCTTACAAAACTTCTGGACTTTCTCCTTCTTTAATTTGGCAAATGCTTCCATAATCCTTGTTTTCAAGTTCTTCTTCGGTGTTACAAGGAGTTTTGTTGGTTATAACACTACTGAACTTTGCTTTGACCAATAATAATCTGAACAAAAGCATCGTGATGAAATCGATCGTAAACGAAAATAACATGTTCATCATCAATTAATCATAGCTAAAGATCGAAACACATGAAGGATAGAAATAAAGTTCAATTTTTTTTTTTAAGCGTTTCACCCCAAGCAAGGCGGGAAGCCACTGGGACGCAAGGGGTTACAGAAAATTTAGAACAAGATCAGATAGGAGTGATAGAAGAAAGGATGAGGAGAAGTGTAGTGGATAGATCAAGGCAACTGGAGATGTCGATTGACATTACATTTGAATAGCTGGAGATTATAGCTCTCAGGGAAACTAGAATAGAGAAGGGAGTTCCACAGGCGAGAGGTGCGAGACATGAAGCTACTGGAGTAGAAGAGACGGCTACATTTAGGAGTTTCGACAGTGAATGAGTGAGAGCGAGATGACAGCCTCGTAGGGCGCTTGAACTCATGAAGTCTGGGAACCAGCGAATGCAGCTCCTCGGAGCAATTGCCATGAAAGTATTTGTAAAACAGACAGAGAGAGGTGACGGCACGTCTGTGAGAAAGTGCCTGTAGACGAGATGCCAGATCAGGGCCAATTATATTGCAT